AATTCCCCTCGGCCATGTTCACCGACCAGTTCTTTTTTCTTATTTTGAGTGACAACAGATCTCAGACGACCATTGAGAACAATATATAGACAATCTGACTCGTCGCCTTGTCTGGGAAAAACAGTAAAACAACTATATATGAGAGAGTGCTCCCATGCATGCAGAGACTCTGTAATTATATAGGTTTATATTCCCAAAGACGTCACAGTATCCTGTTCTTGGGCCTGTGAAGGGTTTTGGTTTACAATGCATGGTTTATGCATGTGTCTATCCAGTATAAATAAAGTTAGTTCAAGTTTCTTCCTGTAGTAACACTGGGTTAATAAGAGATGATCCTTACTGGACCTCTAGGAAGAACAGTTTAGAACTGATAGAGCTATCCAGTATAAATAAAGTTAGTTTAGTTTAAATTTCTTCCTGTAGTAACACTGTATTAATAAGAGATGATCCTTACTGGACTTCTAGGGAGAACAATTTAGAACTGATAGAGCTATCCAGTATAAATAAAGTTAGTTTAGTTTAGGTTTCCTCCTGTAGTAACACTGAATCAATAAGAGATTATCCTTACTGGACCTCCATGGAGAACAGTTTAGAACTGATAGAGCTATCCAGTATAAATAAAGTTAGTTCAGTTTAAGTTTCTTCCTGTAGTAACACTGGATTAATAAGAGATGATCCTTACTGGACATCTAGGAAGAACAGTTTAGAACTGATAGAGCCATCCAGTATAAATAAAGTTAGTTTAGGTTTCTTCCTGTAGTAACACTGTATTAATAAGAGATGATCCTTACTGGACTTCTAGGGAGAACAATTTAGAACTGATAGAGCTATCCAGTATAAATAAAGTTAGTTCAAGTTTCTTCCTGTAGTAACACTGGATTAATAAGAGATGATCCTTACTGGACATCTAGGAAGAACAGTTTAGAACTGATAGAGCTATCCAGTATAAATAAAGTTAGTTTAGTTTAAGTTTCTTCCTGTAGTAACACTGGATTAATAAGAGATGATCCTTACTGGACATCTAGGAAGAACAGTTTAGAACTGATAGAGCCATCCAGTATAAATAAAGTTAGTTTAGGTTTCTTCCTGTAGTAACACTGTATTAATAAGAGATGATCCTTACTGGACTTCTAGGGAGAACAATTTAGAACTGATAGAGCTATCCAGTATAAATAAAGTTAGTTCAAGTTTCTTCCTGTAGTAACACTGGATTAATAAGAGATGATCCTTACTGGACCTCTAGGGAAAACAGTTTAGAACTGATAGAGCTATCCAGTATAAATAAAGTTAGTTTAGTGTAGGTTTCCTCCGGTAGTAACACTGGATCAATGAGAGATGATCCTATACCGGACCTATAGAAAAAACAGTTTAGAATTGACAGAACTGTCCAATATAAAAAAGTCAGTTCAGTTTAAGTTTCTTCTTTTCTAGTAACACTGAATCAGTAAGAGATGACTCCTACCAGTAAGAGATGACTTCTAAGAGAAGATCCTTATACTGGACCTCCATGGAGAACAGTTTAGAACTGATAGTTAATATAGCTATAAACACAGCTATTTTCACAACAGTATACCTGTATATGGCTCGTCCAGCTTCCATGTGAACCCAGTCAAGAGCGTAGTCAATGTTTCTGACCAGCGGTGTCAATCGTGACGTCAGCGTACTGCTGAGATTCAGAATAACACGAGGTCTTTGTAGAAGAATACTAAAATGAACACGAAAGCTTGAGAATGCGTGTGTAGCACAGGGAAAACTAGTCTCCACTCAAATGATGTAGTGACATCACACCAAAGATTCGTCGGAAAAGTTTGGGTTAGGGTTAGGCAGGCCTTTTAGCCAGGATCCTAAAAGAGGCCGTCCAATTTTGCTACAATGACACAACTACATCGGGGGGGGGGGGGG